ATTAATCCTTGATGTGACAACTCCTTCCCTCTGGGTTGGTATTTGGAGCCTCTACATCCATAAGTATAGATCAATTTCATCAAATTGTAGCAATTTACACTTGTTTCCTTTAACAACAACAACAAAAAATTATCTTCCTCTAGTCAAGTTCTGATCATCAATCTATTGAAGCTATGTCTAGTGGGTACTAGCTACACATTTGGGTATTCTCTTGTATAGAAAACTTTTTGTGTCTAAGACTCAGGCTAAGAATTTTAATCTTATCAGATAATCTGGAAGGCCTCTCTGTGCCTATCCCCATAACAACCGTTTGATGAGGTTTTGTGTCAACTTGACTGGGTCAGGAGTCTCAGTGGTTTCACTGTTAATGTGTGTAATCCTCCATATTGAGATCTAATGTAAGGACTTCCATGATGAAATCAGGAAACCAGTTGAAAGAAAGTTTCCTCGGGGCTGCAACCTGATTCCAACTTATTGGACAAAGTTCTGGCAATGCTTGCTTTCTTTTTGTTGGGTCTGGATCCTCCAATTCTTTGGACTTGGCCCAGCAGTCTGATGCATTGATTGCTGATACTGGGAGCCATCAACAGCTTGCCATCTTAACTGCTGAACTTGGATTTATTTGTATCTGCAGCCAGAAGCCTATCAACTGACTTGGAAATTTGGGGTTCATCAGTCCCAAACAGTGCATATGTTAGGAGAAAACTTTAGCCTGACATCTCACTCATGGACTTAGAACTTGCCTGCCTCTACATCTGTGTGAGCCATTTCCTGGATACAAACCTCTCGGTATACACACATATATAAGCTTTGCTGCTTTTGCGTCTTCAGAAAACCCATCCCTTTCTCTTAAAGGTCTCTATGATCTTTTCACTCAAGAGTATATCACTAGAACTATAGTTTAATGTTGCTTATTTGTAAAACTTGATGCAAATTTCAATTATCTTAATCTACAGACTTTACCTACATCCTTTTATTTTATTTACACTTTATCTGCTAAAGAATCCAGGCAATTTTACTCCTAAAGTTACCTGCACATTGCTGATTGTATAGTGATGAAGATGTCTAACATGTTTCTTCCAGGTCCCTATTTCTTGCTAACTGTAGCTGAATCTGAGGCTTGATCAGACTCAACTTCAATTTTTTGGGCATGACTAAGCACCAGTTTGTGTAGTTTTTTTTTTTCATCAAGATAAATATAATATCTGGTTTTCACATTATTTTGATCTTAGTAGTTTTTCTATTCAGTGCCTATGTGCATTAATTCACTGGAGATTGCAATATGGTGATATTCTAATGCTATAATTTTGTTTTCGTTGATTAGTTGAAAAACAGTTTTAAGGAGATCCTTCCATTTTTGTTTGGTTACTCTGAAATGCAGTTCATGTAGGAAAGGATTAATAAATACTTGATTCTTTCCTTTTCATATAGTTCTTTTTCAATATAGTTATTTGATTTTTAGTCATCTTCAGAAAGTGGGGGTAATATTGTTTTAAATTATTTGTATTCAGTCTGATAGAATTAGAATGTATCACAAAGGTCACTTTTTGTTTAATTTTCCCTTTTACAGGAGCCCTGGTGGCACAGTTGCTAAAGTACTTTGATGCTAGCCAAAGATCAGCAGTTTGAACCTACTAAGGGCTGCATAGGTGAAAATCAAGATTTATAGGCTAGGGAATTCTATGAAGCAGTTCTGCCTTGTCAGATAGGATCAGTAGGAGGCAGAATTGACTCAATAGTAAACCACAGCAACCTTTCTACATTTGATGAGCTCCCTTTCTCTTCCTCTCCACATTCCAGTCTAGTTTCCTCCACCATACACTGGAAATAATTACTCAGATGTTTGAATGAACTTCAATGATATCTCATATAAAAATCACCTTGTCTCATAACAGACATATGGTTGTCATTTAAGAAATAATCCCTTACCTAACATTAATGAAGTTCAACTATTGAAATTGTGGCTCCAAATAGTACATACTTAATAAATTTGGTATCTATGTTGACTTAACTCTTAAAAGTATGACAGTTGCTATCTGCAGACAGAAAATGTAATTATACTTTGATTAGTCTATGTCAGGAGATGAAAACACTAATTATGCTCAAGGATAGGAAATGGTGGTGGTTATGTGCCATGGAGTCAATTCTTACTCATAGCGACCCTGTACAGGGTTTCCGAGGCTTTAAATCTTTACAGGAGCAGAAAGCTTCATCTTTCTCCCATAGAAAAGCTGGTAGTTTCGAACTGCTGACCTTAAGGTTCACAGCCCGATTCGGAACCACTACACTACCAGAGCTCAGAGTTGGTTAATTAACTGAGTAAGTGCTTGAGGTTTATATAGGTGAGATGAGTAAAGTTCTTTGTTAACTTCAGGGGCCAAGTATTACAGTGGTTTGTCAGTTAAGACATAGTAACCGCATGGTGAGATCTAATATAATGTAATCATCCTTATGATGAGATATGCTTTGAACCACCAATCATTTGAAAGGACATTCCCTCAGGAGTCTGGCCTGCAATATCTTTCATCCTAAAAATGATAAAAGCAGGAAGCACTTAATCTGTGTCACTAGGGCTTCTTTATAGGTGTGACAAGAAAATCACACACCTGTCTCATTATTCATGATTTCTCACTGTAACTATAGTAAAAAAAATCTGCTATGCAACTATTTTGCACATTAGTGACATGTAGCTGACAGTAGTGCTGCGGTATGACCTGAGTACAATGCTGACTGTGATGGTTAAGGCTATGTGTCAGTTTGCTTGGGCCTCAATTCTTAGTGTTTTGGCAATTGTGTCATGAGGTAAGTTGGTAGTTATATAATGTTGTGATTTGGCAATTATATAATGATGTAGCCACCCTCTATTTTGTGATCTAAAACAATCATCCTGCATTTTTGCATAATGCCAGTTTTGACATACATGATGACTTGTTTTTGGGAACTAGGTACACTCTGGTTAACATTCTGAAAGGATATCATGCTGTATAGGATTTAAGTTCTCTCAAATGTTGATTTTTGCTTGCAGTTTATAGAAGTAAGGAATTGTATTTTTGTTGTTTGATGGGATATATTTTTAAGGCAATCTGTTGGCACAGTGGCTAAAGCACTTGACTAATAACTGAAAGATTGGCAGCTTATACCTACCATTTGCTCCCTGGAATCCAAATGTAGCAGTCTACTTCCATAAAGATTATACTCTTGGGAACCCCATGGTTTTGGTTCTATAGAGTCACTGTTAGTTGAAATGAGTTTTTTGGGAGCCTTTGTATTTAGTACAAATGGACAAAGAAATCAGAAGTTTCAGAAGGAAACAAAGCCATATGGTTTACATTAAGCTGACTCCCCTTTATATTTCCACTGTATAATTTGTAATATAATTGAACAATGAAACCCTCATAGCTGCTTTTGAAAGCAAGAATAAATTTACATTCCCATAATTGTCTGAAAGTTTCCTATATTGATGGGAGCTGTGAATAACTCTATCAATATCATTATTTAGCATTATTCTTGAATTGAATTTCTATTTTAAGAAATAGTTAAAAACAGTAGAAGAATATTTATACTGCTACTGCAATTAATATGAACATTTTAAAAATTATATAATTCAAATACTCAACAAAATGAATTTAACAATTTCAAATGAGGTAGACAGAGCAGAATATGAAAATAAACATCTAGTGAACATTAAAATAACATTATTCTTACCCTAGCATTGATACACTTCTACTGAAACATGTTTTTGTTGTTAAGTGCCATTGAGACCCACTGACCTTGTGGTTCAAACTGACTTTGCAGTCTAACGCATTAACCCACAGTACCACAACAGGATTCCTCAGCAACAAAATTTTATAGACACTCATTTTGTCGCCACCCCTCTGACAGATTTGACCACACACTCCTAGCAGTACCACTCTTCAGGAGTGCAGAGATAGTTAATCATGTGTAAAAAATAGCTGCCTTCTAGTGACTCCAACTCATCATAATCTCATGGGTGTCAAAGTAGAATTGTGCTCACTAGGGTTTTCAGTGACTGATTTTTCAGAAGTAAATTACCAGGCCATCCACCAGGGAACTCTGACTTTCTACCTTTAGCTGTATTGTTTATCCCATTTACTACCCAGGAACTTTGTTTATCAAATATACACAGTTTTTATATATATATATATATATTGTTGTTGCTATGTGCCATGGAGTCGGTTCCAACTCATAGTGACCCTGTCCAGTGTTTCCGAGGCTGTAAATCATTACAGGAGCAGAAAGTCTCATCTTTCTCCCACAAAACAGCTGGTAGTTTCCAACTGCTGGCCACGAGATTAGCAGCCCGATTCGTAACCACTACGCTACCAGAGCTCCAAATATGTGTGTGTGTGTGTGTGTGTATATATAGATCTAGCTATACATCTCTATACATCTCTAAACATACCTATACAAATCTATATCTAGCTATACATATATATAGATACCATAAACATTTTACTTTAATAAAATCAAATGTTCATCTGTCTACCTACCTTTTTTTTTTTTTTAAGATTTTTATTGTGGAGTGAAAGATCACAGGGCAGATCATCTGTTTTACATTCAACAAATCATACACCTTATTTGATTACAATGATTATAATCACCTCCATGTACCATTGGTTAACAATATTTCTCTCTAGTCCCTTTAGCTCTTTTTTTTTTTAAACACTCAGGCAATTTACACCACCAAAGGGCACATTCTGCAAGTCTGCCTCCTGGCCATCAACTCTTAGTCCCTCTCTTCCCATGAGTATAGACTCCTCAGCTCCTCCCTCTCTCCATGTCCCCATCTCTGCCTCCATCTCTGGTGTTGCTGCTTCTCTGTATAAGGTTTTGCATTCTGCTTGTGCTCTTCTCCCTTGATGGTCTATAAGATCAACTACTCCCCTGTTTTTGTTACAAAACTTCTACCTTTATAATTGTGACAGTCACAATTACTCATGATAACAATTAATCACTATTGGATAGTGATTAATTATTAACTCTTTTAACCAGACCCATTTAGACAAGATGAAAACTATTCAGTGGCAACTCTTTCTCCCCCCTACCTACTTTTAAACTAACTTCCCATTGAAACCTTGCAAACCAATCACTTCATGCCTTTATTGCCCCCTCATTTTAGGTAGTCAGTGTCTAAGTTGCCCATCCCTATCTGCCCAGGGTACAGAGGGGGGATAGCAGTGATACTTCATATTAAGACTCTTTCCCTTTCTGTTGCTATTTAGCGTTACTACCTCCATGAGTATAGGTCAAGTTCATCAAATTGTAGCAATTTACCCATGTTTCTTTTATCAAAAATTATTTTGTTCTTTTTAATCGTCCTCTAGTCAAGTTCTGATTATCAAGGCATCTAGACTAGGTCAAGTACGTACTATCTGCAACTTTGGGTGTTCTGTCTGCCTATATCTTGAAGTAGGGTTATATACATGACTTCTAACTTGGGTCTACAAATTGGTTTCTCTTTTTTTTTTTTCATTATCTAAAGTTTCTAATGAGTTATAAAAAATTTAAATAATTGTGAAAGAAACTGAGTGTAGAATCCTTTAATTTACTTATTTACGTTATTTTATACCTCTCTCAGTTACATCCAGTTTATTTCCTTTCATTTATTGTGATTTGGGTAAAAGTCTAGAGAGCAAATTGGTTTTCCGTTAACAAGTTTTGCATATTTCATTTTGCAACATTGATTGCAATCCCATGATTTGTAGAATGCACCCATGAAGCCATCTGGACCTGGACTCTTTTGGTTGGGAGTTTTTTGATGACCTGATGAATTCCTTCTTTTGTTATAGAACATTCTCCAGAATTCAGGTTTTCTACTTCACTCTAAGTTTTGGTAGGTTGTGTTTCTCTAAAAATGCATCTATCTCTTCTAAGTTTTCAAATTTGGTGGAGTACAACTCCTCATAGTATTCTGTTATTATCCTTTTGATTCCATTTGATTCCGATGTGACATCACCCGTGTGATTTCTAATGTGAGTTATTTGTGTTTTCTCCCTCTTTTCTTTTGTTAGTTTTGCCAATTTTATTAATACTTTCAAAGAACCAGCTTCTTTTCCTGTTGATCTTTCTATATTTTTTCTGTTTTCCATCTCATTTATATCTGCTCCTATCTTTATTATTTCTTTTCTTTTGGTGATTGCAGGATCCCTCTGTTGGTCTGTTTGTTTTGGCTAGAGATGCTATGTTAATTTTGGTGCTTTCCTCTTTGGGGATGTGCGTACTTTTCGCAGTAAATTGTCCTCTTAGCACTGCTTTCACAGTGTCCCAAAGATTTTGGTATGTTGTGTTTTCATTCTTGTTTGTTTCTAGGAACTTTGTGAATTCACATTTTATTTCTTCTTTTACCAGTCACTTTTCAGCAGGGT